TTTTTCTTTTTCTTTTTTTCAATTTTTATTAAAATTTTCACGGTAAATATTACCAATTTTAATACGATTCCTATTAGAAACTTTTGATTATTATAAATGCTTTGTTTTTGTACCTCTAAGTTTGAATCTTTTAACTCCCTTTACTAATTTATTAAAAAATATACTTCGGCGGCTTCCTACTCCTCCTCTTTTTTAGTAAAGAAGTAAATTTACGCTTTGCGTACTATTAAAAAGAATCTGCTGGCTATTATTACTAAAGTTAAAGATAATACTTTTAAAAGAGAAAATAAAAAGCCTTACTTATTTATAAATCTTTCTACTTCTTCCTTTCTTATATTAGAAGGCTGCTAAACTTTTACTTTTATTAGTCGAGCATAAAAATTTGGCTGTTAACTGTATTTTTTATTTAAATAGTCACTATAAATATATTATTAAGTCTAGAATATTATTTTCATAATTTACTATAATAATGATAAGAAATAATATTAACGTGTAGCTAGTACTGTGCTTTGTAACTGCTTTGGACTACCTTGTAGTATAGAAAGCTAATTAAACTATTCCTTCTACAAAATCAGTCCACTCAGTTCCTACAAAACGTGCTAAAATACAGAGGTTTTGCTATTATATTCTGGAATTCTCTAACTTGTTCAGCATTTCTTCTAAACTAATTTGTCATCATGGAATGAACCAGAAGATTATAGGTTCAGTTTATTCCTTTCATGGTATAGTGCTTCTATAAGCACTCCTATCAACTTACAAAAGCTTCTACACGCTGGAAGCTTTAAGATACTTAATGTTCGTATATATAAAGATCTCTTCTCTCCTTTAGTTAGTCACTCCTTAAGCAAGCAAGCAAGCAAGCAAGCACAATCTAAGGAATACAATACAGTCTACTCCTATAGTGCAGAGTTCACTATAATAGTTGTTTCTCACAGTGCAGAGTTTACTGTACTCTTTTGTCTTGAGAGCAGAGTTCTCTCTAAGATCTCTTTTACAACATTTTTCTATTGTCTTTGCAACTACGCTACTTCCTTCAGTACTGCTGTTGTACTTCCTACCGCTTCTGTCACAGGTTGGCATTAGCCAATGCTAACCTGTGACAGCTGCCGCTCCGCTCTGCTACAAGTGCATAGTTCACCGTAGCATCTCTATATTAGTGCTATTATTATAGGCTAGTTAAGGCATTGTAGCAAACAGAAGTATTGAATTAGAGGAATTTAAAATCGTCTTCCTAAAAGAAACTTCTAACGTTTATAACGTTCTTTTGAAAGGTAGGAACTTAATTTAATAAAATTTTATTTTTCTTTCTAATAAATAAATATAACCGACTAAAGGTAAAGTATTTTTTTTGTTTTCGTTACTGAAAATACCTTTTAATTTGGCGAAGGATTCTTTGGAATTATATTAATCCGAAAGTTTACTGCGTTTCTAAAGAGCTTTTACTTTTAGTTTTTTTCTCAATAAGAAAACTTTCTATTAATACTAACTATCCTACTTTATTAGTAGTAATTATTACAGCTGTAGCAGACTACTACACTAATCAGGCTATGTCTCTGCAAAAGAATACAAGTAATTGAAGCTGGAAGATTCAATACTTAAATAGTCTTATATAATTGTTTCAAACCGCACGTAGTTCCGTATTGCATCGGCTGTTATAGTAATTAGACTTACTTTTCTTTTCTTTGTAAATAAATTTTAATTATCTTATTTAAAAATTGAAAGGAAAGAAGATTCCATTTTATTTTAATCAGCGAATATATTCATACTTAGAATTATAAAAAATAAGGGCGGCTTTTTATATATTATTAATTAGGACGTTCTAATTAGCAGTAATTATTGTAAATTACTAATTTGTAATAGGAGTATAAATTATAGTTTTTATAGCTTTTAAGAGTTTGTTGCTTGTA